AGAGAGGCATCCCTTTACCAACTCCCGTAGCAGCTGCCATGGCCATGAGTTGTGCACAGACTGGACAATGCAAGACTCACAGTAGTCATTCTGTTGAGTTGTGAGGGAGATGTTTTTGTTGAGTGATGGCTCCTTAAAGAGGAAATAAAATGGATGGCTTTTTAACCAGCCAGCCATGAAACATCCACCGCGTGAGGCTCGTGTTCATACAGGGAATGGCAGGCTGCCGGTGGAAGCTGCTCCAGATGGCATGTCTGGATCTGGACACATGATCCCAACAGCCATAGGCTTTCTGTCCCATAGGGATGTGTTCTGGCTTCCTGAGAAGGAGTGTGTGTGTTTATACTCTGTCTTCTGGCATTCCTGTTTGAAGTGGACATCTTGGGAGAGAGGCTTGAAAAGAATTACCTGAAGAAATGGACGACACGGTCAACTCCCATGAGGAGCATACAAGTCTAACTAATGAGCTGGAATGCATTGGCAGCAGCATAAATCTGCAATTGATTAGAAGAATTGCAGAGTCTTTGTTGGTTTGATTTTTTTTTTTTTTTTTTTTTTTTTTTTTGGTCAGGCTTTCATGCTATAGCCCAAGCTGGTCTAGAACTTGCTGTATAGCCCAGACTGGTCTTTAACACATACAGTCTTCTGTCTCAGTGCTTACCCATCCAAGTGATGGAATTACCGGTATGTAATTTGATTTTTTATCCCTTTGAATGAGGAATATTCTAGAGAGTAGATGTAGTCACCCAGTGTTCTGATACCGACTGGGAAGACTGTCTCTAGACCCTTGCAGCGGATGGAGCTAGGGCACACACATTTCTGTACATGTGTGCACACACTGAGACATGTTCTTAGGTATCAGTATCTTTTAAACAATCAGACATCGGGCTGTAGAGCAAACTGTTTAGAAATCCTGGGTTCAGGCAGGCGGTAGTGGCACACACCTTTAATCCCAGCACTCAGGAGGCAGAGGCTGGCAGATCTCTGTGAGTTCAAGGCCAGCCTCATCTACAAAATGAGTTCCAGGAAAGGCGCAAAGCTACACAGAGAAACTGTCTCAAAAAAACAATAATCATCATCATCATCATCATCATCATCATCATCATCCTGAGTTCACAGCTGTACCAGTTCCAATTACAGGACACCCTTCTGAAATCTCAGCACTCACAAGTTCACTTGTCCCAACCCCTCAGTCCTTGGAGCCCCTTCAGATTCCAGGGATCAGAACATCTGGTCTCTAGAGTGTTCTCTCCAGTCTTCTCCAGCCCCAGCTTCACTGTTTTCCACTGTGAGAGCGCCCAGCATCAACACTGCTCGTGTCTGATCCTGCCCTATTTCTACAGTAGTTTCAGAATCATCTCATTCACACATGAACACACGCATATGCGCTCTCTCTCTCTCTGTCTCTGTCTCTCTGTCTCTGTCTCATACACACACCACACACCACACACACACACACACACACACACACACACACACACACACACACACTCACTCACTCACTCACTCACTCACTCACTCAAAACCCAGCAAACAAACCTAAACAAACCCAAGGCATTTCTGTATCCTTCCCTTTGTTCCGGTCCTGTCCAGGACTGACTGTTTATGCCCCGTCTGTTACCTCTGTCCTCTTTCAGGATGGTTATGGTATTCATTTACGTACAATCAGACAGACTTATTTTGATTTACTTTTAATGTGGGGCCTTTTTTGCTTCATTCTATACTTAATTTTTAAAATTCTATAGTGTAAAAACCATTTAGTTCCAAAAGTCAAAACTTTACAAAACGATATATGTATGAGAAACACTCCATCCTTTGTTATTTTTACCCCCTCATCCCTGTCCATTGTTGGTTCTTCTTCTTCTTCTTCTTCTTCTTCTTCTTCTTCTTCTTCTTCTTCTTCTTCTTCTTCTTCTTCTTCTTCTTCTTCTTCTTCTTCTTCTTCT